AACATATTCACATTACCAAAGAAAGTGTGTAGATAAGGTTATTTGAGATAAGGTAGACAAGGATTCTCACTTAATGAAAGGGACATTTCATAATAACAAGATTAGTCTACTAGGAAGACAAAACAGTTAATGTACAGCAAAGACAGGTGATAGAATCCCAAAATTCACAGTCCAAGCAGCAAACCTGACCATAGCATTATTCAAGGCCCCAAAGGCCAATGTACAGTGAGTCAGTCACAGAAACCAGGGGTATTTAGAACATTTACAGCAGTTCAACTTGTGAATTCTTGAAGATTTTATTGAGAGTAAACACAGAATCGAGAGGAGTGAGAGTACATGCTTATAAATCCAGCACTCGAGAGGCAGGGGTAAAGGGATTAGGAGTTACATAGAAAGTCTGCCTGCCTTGGCTACATGAGACCCTGCCTTAAAGGAACAGAAAGAAGCTGGGAGATGGATGCACACACCTTTAATCCCAGCACTCTGGAGGCAGAGGCAGGCAGATCTGAGTTCTAGGCCAGGCTGATCTACAGAGTGAGTTCCAGACCAGCCATGGCAACACAGAAAATCCCTGTCTTGCAAAACCAATTCTCTGCTCCACTGCCTCCACTAAAAGAACAAAAACAAAACAAAACAAAAACCCATGAAAAGAGAATGGAGATAGGCTGTTTCTTGGCCTTTTGGGAGAATCACCTCTTTGGCAGTTCATTCTCAGTAGTTGGTAGAACAGATCTGTGGGACAATTTTCAGATTTCTCAGCTTTTACTTGAGAACTTCTTTTAATTAAGTTCTAGAAAGCATGGAGTTGAAAATGAACTCTAACAAGAAACAGAGTAAATTGAAGTTGAGGACTGAGAAGGATAGAAAAAGTGATTTATGTTGAATGAAAAAAGTTAAATGTAAAGCCTTAGCATGAAGAAGAGGCCTGGCAGAATCCCAGCTCTCTCTTTCCTTAAACAGCATCCACTTCAGCTGCCTGAAGGAACTTAAAGAGAAGAGTTTTGATTTTCTACACAAACTGAGCCAGAGAAACTTTGAGGTTTGAAGAAGCTAGGCATCGTGGAAGTTAAGAGTGAGACACTGAACTACAACAGGAGCCTAGGGAAAGATAACAAATCAGATGTCTTAGCTTCCCGCCTTCTTACTTCCAGAATGCAAGTCATTGGGCACCCTCCCATGAGGAAGAACAGGAGATTCTCCCATGTATAACCGTAAGAAGAAATGTAGACACTGGTGGTTCTGTCCCTCCAACAGTGGTTCTCGCATATCACCCTTCAGGAAAGTTCTCTATGAGTGCAGAAGGCTTCCAAGCCTCTCTAGCGCTTCACATCCTCTATCATGGAAAACATAAGTCTAAATGTGCTGTGGTAGTCACCAACAAGATGGTCCCTAAGACCCCACCTCTGTACTGTCCTCTTCCACAGTGCACCAGGATTTGTTGATGTGACCGATTACTCACAGTAGGAGTGAGGGGCAGAAAAGTTTCAACTAGCTCTAAAAAGATTGCTGCCTCCTTCTTAACTTTTCCATCTTGGGCTCTCTTCTCTTATCCTGGGAGAAGCAAGCTGCCTTGTTGACAGTCCGATGGCTAATTTGCCCTGCTTGTCCCCAGGATGTGAGGATTTTGTTGCTAAAACCAAGAAACAACCAGTTATCTTGGGACAAATGGGCATTTAAGCGGTGTGTAGCCTTATGAAAAGAGCCAGTGCCGATAAGCAAAGGCTGCCACTGCCTGTCAACTGAAGAGAGAATGTCTTGTGTATTGTACGGATGTAGCACCCGTCAATAATAAATCTGATGGCCTATACCTTAGGCAGGAAATAGGAGGTGGGACATCCAGTAGGCAGAAAGAATGCTGGGAAAGCCAAGTGTGGAAGATTGGAAAGGAAAAAAAATTGTTTGGCAGCAAAAGATAACGCACAAATAGAAAAAAACAAAAAAACAAAAACATGCAAGTATCGGGGTACAGTGGTGCACACCTATAATCCCAAACACTTGAGGAGGCAGATCTCTGTGAGTTCAAGGCCAGCCTGGTCTGTAAAGAGAGTCCAGGACAGACAAGGCTACACAGAGAAACTCTCTCTTGAACACCCCTCCCTCCAAAAGGATGCAGGCATTAGAAAAAAATTTTACAGAAAACTACAATATAGCAGAAGAGATATGACATAGCATTTTATGAAAAAAATTAGAACTCTGTAATAAAGAAGGATATATTTAGTTACTATGACAATGATCCTATTTTATCACTCTCCCCTGTATTCATGTGCTCTGTGCTCTTCCACTCTGACTCTGGACTTGGTTACGTGACTGGCTCTGATCAATCAATGCAAGTGCAGCAAATGTGGCTGAGAAGCTTAAAAACTGCTTGCAAGGTCAAATATGGCTCTCTTGCTATCCTAGGACACTGACACCAGGTAAGCAGGGTCAGGCTTGCCAGCTAGCCAGCTGGAGATAACACAGTAGGCAGAAGATAACAAGGTGTTTAGAATAACAGCCAGCCTTTATCTAACCTGCTGTAAACTTTGGCCTGTTAAACAGCCTAGTCAAAGTCACCTAGAAAGACTCCATGACCTCACTCAGCGTTGACTGCCAACTCAAAGAATTAGAGTTTAAGAAATGGCTATTGTTGTTGGCACAGTGGTACACACCTGTAAGCTCAGCACTCGGGGAGGCGGAGGCAGGTGGATCTCTGTGAGTCTGAGGCCAGCCTGCTCTACAGAGTGAGTCCAGGGCAGCCATGCCTACAAAGAAACCCTATCTTAAAAAACAAAACACACAAACAAACAAATAAATAAATTCATTGGTGGCACATACCTTTAATCCCACCATTTGGGAGACAGAGGCAGGAGGATCTCTGTGAGTTTAAGGCCCAACCTGATCTGCAGAGCAAGTTCCAGGACAGCCAGGACTACAGTGAAATCCTGTCTTAAAAAGCAAAAAGCAAAACAAAACAAAAACATGTATTTCAGATGGCTCAGTAGTTAAAAGCATTTGGTATTAATCCAGAGGACGTGGAATTGGTTCCCAGAACCCACATGGCAGTTCATAACTATCCATAACTAGTTCCAGGAGATCTGATGGCCTTTTTTTTTTTTTTATCTCTATGGGTACAGGGTACATACATGGTATATCCACATACATGCAGACAAGACATTCATACATATAAAATGAAATAAATAAATCTTAAAAATGCAATAACTCGTCTGTGTAAATGCTCCAAATAAATAATTAATATTTCATTAAGATATCTGACTTCTATGTTCACTGGAGCATTATTTATATAGCCCAGATCTGGAGTCAGCCTAAGTGTATACAGCTAAATGAACGGAAGGAGAGAATGCAGTCCTTAAGCCTGGTGGCCTGCAAGTTTGAAGACAGCCTGGGCTATGTAGTGCGTTCCAGGACAGAACCCTGAGTCAGCACATGGCACATAGAGTCCGCGAAGCTGAGGAGCTTTAAAAAAAACCAGTAACCCTTGCCAGCCCACCCCATCGTTCTTTCTTCCCCTGGGGATCCTCCGAGGAGGCGCCATCATCCTTCCTTACGCAGGATTTTTTTTCTCTTTGCAGTTCAACCCTGTCCTTTACTTGGGCGTCTCGAGGACAGACCCGCTTTCTTTTTCGCAGCCCTAGGACTTAGCACACAACTGCTCCTTCAGTGGGTTGGAGAGAGTTTAAGAGCGGGTTTGGGAAAGAGGAGAGACGGAACAAGCGTGCGTGCGTGCACTCAGCAAACCTTCCTCAACCAGCGTCCTCGGAGTAGACAGGTGGGGCTGCTCCCGGCTTTACAGAGAACTAAAAAAAGACAGTTATTATTATTATTTTTTTTTCTGATCAGAATGAGCCAAGGGTGCCAGCGACGGCGTTTGCTTTTGCACATCTTCTGCAGCTAATAAGTGTGGCTTAGACTAACATACTGAGTTTAAAGCAATACACGCGGAACACATGCCCGGGCTACACGAGACTGAGCTGACCCTTTCAGGCTTCCTAAATAACTCCCATCTCTAGCGACCCTTCCCTGAGGGGATGCGAGAATCCTCAGTATTTCAGAGGGGCAGACGGCCACCCGGCAACACCCGCGGGCTAGAAGGTCCAAGAATAACCTAGAGCGGGCAGGAGACGGGGAGAAACCAGCCTCTAGGCTACCGGCTACCTCCGCAGCATCCCGCGCCACCCCTTCCCTCCAGCTACCTTCTGGTGTCCCAGGAGCCAGTGGGCGGGCGGCCCCGGGAAGGGGCTCAGGTCTCGCAGCAGCCGGCGCCTCCGCAGGTAGAGCTTGAAGGCCTGCACCAGCGCCAGCGCCAGGCAGAACACCAAGGCCAAGTGCAGGGGCCGCGCCCAGCGAGTCTCCAGCCAGGAGGCCTCCATCGCTCCGCTCCCGCTATCGCGCGGGCAGTGGGTGGGCAGATGAGGTCGCGGTGGGAAGCGGGTAGCTTTCTCCGGGCTGGAGCTGGCGAGCATCACCCGGCCCCCTCCCCGGGGAGCCCTGAGTGTGGCTGAGGTGGGGGAGGGGCAGCTCCTGTCTGGGAAGGAGAGGCCAGCCCGCGTTATCCGCTCGCTCGCCTGGATTCAGGCAGGCTGCTTGCACCTTCCCGGGGTGTCTTAGTTTGAAGTGTGACCTTTCCGGTTTGCAGACGAGCTGAATTTAGATTTTGAAATAATGCTCAGGCTGAAGTCATTGTTTCTCTTCGTCGCGAGTGAGAATAAAGGGCTGTGCGAAAGGACCTGCTTTCCCACTCTGGACTTTGAGGGGCAGACACAGGAACTGTGCGAGGCCGCGGGCAGTGTGGCCTGCCGAACTGGGCTTGTGAATGTTTGGGCCTTGCTCCTCATCACGATTTCTAGCTTGCTCTAGGGTCACCATGGCCCCCTTCCAGCTGTGTGAGTCCGAGTAGGGAAGGAATAGACAGTGGTACATCTCTAGAGAATATACCTACCGTTCAGATACAATAAGGACAGCCGTATCATTTATGGATCCTACTGCAAAACGGGAGTGTGGGATCAAAGGCTGGTGAGGATCATCTGAGTTGGAGCTCCGGAACCCACGCGGTGGAAGGAGAGAACAGGGGGCTGCAGACGGTTCTCTGATCCTCGCACGTGCTGTGGCTTGCACACTTTTCACAATAAGTAAATGTGAAAACCTTAACAGTTAATTAAGTTTAAGATTACAATATCAGACCACCAAACCGTGTTAAACCAAGTGTATGCCTTTCCGAGTTAGAGCTATCTGACTACTTCTTAGGTCCCTGCTGTGAAGCCAGACTTGCACACAGAAAACCTGAAGAGCAAGCAGCCTAATAGTAGAACATAGGGGACTGAACTCAGTGCTCCGCAGAAGGGCTCTGTTACATAGTGATTAAGGAAACAGTTGAATAATGACTTTAAATGCTTTAACCAGACACCAGCTCTCATCTGTCCTTTTCTACTCCCGGGTCCTAGAGAGAGAGAGAGATCCTTTGTGCTCTCGCATGCTTTGAAACAGTTTATCACATGACGTTTCTTTAAGAAGAATTGGCTAAGATGTATGAGTCAATGTTCTCAAAGCTGGAGAAAAAATGATGAACAAAATGTTGTTTCTGCCCTCACAGTGCTCATATTTTTCTGTCCTGAGTCCTAAGCTATGGACACAGATTTAATTACAGTTCCATTAAAGCTGCAACTTCTCCTGAAGCTAGTTCCCTACAGCCGGCCCCTGCTGAGGAAGCACATGCAAAGATGCGCCAGCCCTCCATGACTCAAGAACAGTTAGAAAATGTGGCACTGAATATGTGCAGAACATTTTCATGTCACTATTCTCCAAAGAATACAACCAGCTACATAGCATTTACGTTGTACTAGGCCACATAAGCATGTTATATGCAAACACTATGCCACCTCAGACAAGGGCCGTGGGCATCTAAATATTTTTTTAAAGTTTACTTTTAGTTTTACTTATTTTTTTACATGTATAAGTACTTTGCTTGCATGTGTGTCTGTTTAACACATATGTGCCTGGTGCCTGCAGAGGTCATAAAAGGGCAATGGAACCACGAACCACCACATAGGTGCTGGGAATTGAACTTGGGCCCCCTGCAAGAACACGTGCTCTTAACCGCTGAGCCATCTCTCCAGCCCATCTACATTTTAGTATACCCTTAGGACAAATGCCCCCATGGATACTGAAAGCATTATGTTTAAGCTGGGTGTGGTGGTATATTTCTGGAGTTATAGTGTTGGAGAAGCCAAGAGGATCCCTGGGCCACAGCCATTTTTGTCAATTTGATGTGCTCTGCGTTCAGAGAGAAACCTCTCCACATGGAGAGAAACTCTCCACATGATAAAGTGGAGAGCAATTGAAGAAGCTACACAGTGTTGGCCTCTGACTTCTACAAGTACACACGGGTGTGCATACTCAAACATAGATGCACATCCTATTCACACACGTATGAAAATATGTATGCAAACACACATACACGGGGGAGGGGAGAGAGATGCATTTTTGGCATTTAGTGGCCAGGATCTAACAGGCTCAGCTCCCCAAGCTTCTGCCTACTTTATGGTATTATCTACGCTCATTTGTTCATGTATCTGTGCTAAAGCAGACATATGGTAGTGTTGGAGTTCCAGCCCTGAGCAATCGATACAATCTCCCTACTTTGTTTTTACAAACTCCCTATTTTTTTCCTTATCACTGTCCCCGCTGACTCCTCCAGCCTCTGAAGCCAGACTTTATTTGGTAGGAAGTGGCTCCATCTGGACCACATACTGATATTTTAGACTTTCTGTCATGCCATATTAATAAGAGTTTCAGGTGCATATTCCCACCTCTGCTTGTCTCCATTCCTTGCTGTCTCAGAACCTTCTGTTGAACAGGTTCTGCTGGTAAATTGTAACACATTTACCTTTCAGGTTCTTTCTGTGACCAGCTCCCTGCTTGAGTCATGACAGATGTATGTTGATTCTCACATGGAACACATGGTAACGGTGCTGGAAATTGTGACGCTCCTTGCTCTATCTTCTGTGTCCTGACTACTCTCAGCTTCATGTCTTACCTGCTCTGGACTCTGGTTCCTTTGTGCTGACTGATAACAGGGTGAGGGTTTGGGATGCTCCTTTGACCACTGAGCAATGGCATAAGCCAGGACAGTAATGGTGAGGAGAGGATAATTCTCATTTTTGAATTTTTAAATTGGCAATGAATGCCTCCGTCAGTATTGATCTTGTGTGATTTCTCATTTCAACCCAGCCTTACACATCTTTGTTATAATGATCCTGGAGCTGATCAGCATATGAATTTCTTTGATTTATGAAGTAAACATAGAAATATTTTAAAAACAATTACCCTTTTACTATGCTTTTAGGAAAAGTGTATTTTTTTGCTAACCTGCCTAAATCTGAGGCTTTCCATGTTGTTGTAGAGAATAAACAGATGATCTGTGCAAATAATCTTTAAATTATTTTAAGGAGTTTAAAATGTTTATTTATTATTGTTCGTGTGTATGTATGTTTGCATGTGGAGGGCAGAGGACAACTTCCCGGGAACCAATTCTCTCCTTCCATGTGTCGAGGCCTTGTGTTATTTCTGTTCTGCATATGTCTCAGGGTGATCCTCTTGTCCTTACTCCACCACCATTTTGCCACAGAAGCGCTTGGGGTTACAGACGGAGCTCCGCTCACCAGGCTTGTGCAGAAAGCCTTTTTACCCGCTGAGCCATCTTGCTGCCACCAAATTATCCTTTTTTAAATCATATTTTATTGAGTATTTGGGAATTTCACATCATGCACCCCAGTCACACTCACTTCCAAGTCCTCTCAGGTTCACTTCCTTACCCAAAAAGAAAAAAGGAGAAGAAAAGAAATGAAAAGAAAAGAGAAGAGAAGAGAAAAGAAAAGAAAAGAAAAGAAAAGAAAAGAAAAGAAAAGAAAAGAAAAGAAAAAAGATAGTCCAATTTTTGTTGCCTATGTTCTCACTGGAGCGTGGTCAAACTTGCAGGCTCCAGCTCCTCAAGGAAACTGAGTCCTTCCCCAACCGTACCCCTTCCAGAATCCATCCGCTGTGGAGCTGCATTTCAGCATCCTTATCACAGTTTTTAAGAATCCTATGCAATGGTTTCCTGTGTAGGCTGTTACTTTTTTGGGGGGAGGGGTGAGTGTGGGGTTGGGGTAGAGGTTGTCACTGAAGCCGTCTATGTCCCTTTTCCTCAACTGTGACTCTGCAGTCATTGAGGCCACTGCAAAAGTCACTTCTTTGCCTTTTATAGTCAGCAGGAACATGAATTATGGACTTCTACATAGTTTCTGGTGTTAGCATGGACCACGGACATGCACATGGTCTCCAGTGTCAGCATGTGCCATGAACCTTAGCATGGTCCCTGGTGGCAGTACAGACCTTGGGCATTAACTTGGCCCTCTGTTGTAGCATAGGCCACAGTTACCATCATAGCCTTCAGCAGCAGCACAGGCCAAAAACATCAACATGGCCTCCAGGGCAACACAGATGAAGGGCACTAATACGGTCTCCAGCAGCAGCCTAGACATGGACATCAACTTGGTTTCGGGCAGCGGCATAGAGCATGGATATTTGCATAGCCAACTTCTCTTACACTTGTCATCACCGTTGAGTCTCTAGTTCCTCCTCGCTCTCTCCCCACACTCACCTCTCCTTTACTCCCATCTTTCCCACCTCTCTGTCACATATTTGTTTTGTCATAGAGGCACTGGAAACTGCAGAGTGTCACACAGTATATAGTTTTTGCCCAAACAGCTTTACATGCAGATATTCATTGCAATGAGTTGTTGGTCTGGCTCAAGATTTTTGGTTTCTGTTGCAACACAAATACTGGACCATCACTGGACTCTTCTCAGATATCCTGCTGTTGCCCAGAGTCAGGGGGATCTAGCAGCTAGGCAGGGCACCTAGAGGCAGGTTCTGTGCAAGTTCCAGGCTGCTGCACACCCACCCCCCTCGATTTTGGCCTCCCTGAGGCTCACTGCTTGTAGCTGGCCGGCAGCACTACTGGGCACACTCTGCCCCACACCCCTGTATCCCAGCAGGGCAGGCAGCATGGGCTGCAGCTATAGCAGCAGCAGCTCCAACCTGGGGACCAGCCAGTGGACTTAGGACAGGCCCTATTCAGTGATGACATCTGGTTCTTCAGGACTGCTCCTGTATGTGCTTGTACATCTACAGCTTGCAGATGGAGTAGATGTTGGGGAGGACCAACTCAAAGTGTTGTATCTGGGCCAGGAGGGCAACAGAGTTGGTCAACCTGTGGTGTTTTCTGCTGGCCTTTTCTTCCCTTCCTTCCTTTTCCTTCCTTCCTTCCTTCCTTCCTTCCTTCCTTCCTTCCTTCCTTC